AATTAGATTTTTGACCAATAACACAGCAGTTGGGGATTGATTTTAACAACTTATGTCAAAATAGTAATTAAACGGTAGTGACTTATCTATGTGCATTGGATTTCTTATACCCGTCGAGTTTTAAAAAACAATTAAGCAAAAAATTGATTGCGACCCGAACTATGTGGCATGATCTAAATCTTTCTGAAGATTAATTTCATTCACGACAACGTTCACCCACAAATGACTATTTTTAGAAGTTTTATGATTCTGGTTTGTCACGCTAATGCTGACGTGGAATCCTGGTGCTGGATAAACGAGTTGAAATTTTCATCATATTGCGCTTTGTTCGATCATTCTAGCTTTAAAAATGATTCCTAATCAAAATTAAAATAAAAAGAATATACATATATTTAAAAAAAAAACGTTTGTGCTGTACAAATTACATCGTAAAAAGGTCGATTCACACATATCAGTTCAGTCACAGTTCCGTTACAGTACAGTTACAGTCCAGTCTCAGTTGCATCCGAAATTTCTCAGTCAATTAATTATCCGTCTGTTGGTTTCAGTCAGTCTTCCGTCTCTGAAATTTACAGTAATTTACAATGAAAATGTTAAAATTATAAACCTATATTCTATCAAATTATCATTGTCCATCTTGTTAATTGTTACAAACAGTATTCAAAATGTAAACACAACCATTTAAATAACAATAACACTATTTTCTAACCTCTAACAGTTCCGTCAGGCGTCCGAACCACTGAGCTAAAATTATAACTGGAGGTAGCACTGCCATGGCAGAAGTCTGTCAAAAGCGTGTCGCTGATTTTGTTAGGTTGGTATAGCAGCAGGTTTTTTCATCCAATAACATGGCTTCTATAACTAGGTTTGCATAGCAGTGAGTTTTTTCATCCAATAACATGGCTTCTTTATAACTCTCACCTCACGCAAACATGGCGACTGGCGACACGCATCGTTTACATTCAGTGCTACCTCCAGTTAGAATTATAGCTCAGTGGTCCGAACAATCAAAAAGTATCGTTGGAAAGAAATCTGAAACTGACTGACGGATGCCAGCAGAGTGACTGATGGAACTGCATCGGATGAGTGTAGATAACGCTATAGAAAATCCATTAAATAATATTTTTGTTAACTGTGACGTGCCTGAAGTGACTGGACTGTGACGCTCCGTAACTGATGTGTGTGAATCGACCTTAACACTGTATAAAAATGTATCAGTGAATTATGAAAACGCTACTACTCACACGATATTAAAATGATTATGTTCGTAAACAACAGATGTAAGCATTGATGACGACTTTGTATAACCTCAAATTAAGGTAAATGCACCAGTAGCTGACAGTGCTCCAGAAGCTGACAGTTTGAGTTTCTTTACATTATAATGTGGTCTCTTAAACATTTGTACACATGATTGCATTGTTAGAAGAACATATGTTTATTCTTGATTTTTTTTACAAACAAATCAGTGAAATTTAGCCCATACTCGCTGAATGGTGGTGGTTTGAAATCGACCCTGTCTGTACACATCACATTTAGTCGATTCCCTTAGTGAAATTGTTAAGAAGGTAAGTTGGTTTTTTGTCATTTCGCTAAATTTCTTAAATAGTATCAATGATTAGGCTCATTATTTTGATCAATTATACCTTTGTTGACAATTTCATTATAAAATTGGGGTGTTAGGGGTTTTGGATTTAAAATTATATCAATGTCAGGCTTTGGTACACAAAAGCCATACAAGTTCCACTAGCTGACAGGGGATATTTTGTGAAGATGAGAGTACATAAAAGAACATGTCTTTAGCAGTCTAAACCCATTCTGCATTAACCTAATGAATAGTTAATGTTTAATTTTATGTGTTTGATTTCACACATTTTAATTTTGTAATTAATAATCCAAATGATCTTAAAAAATTTATATTTTTTTAAATATATATAAAATATATAGGTATTTTTGTTTAATGTAAATATTTGTTTACTTTAAAATAGGTATGTAAAATAAATTTTCTTAATAACGTTTTACATGATTTTATAATTTAATTATTAAGTTAGATTTTATTCGTCTTATAAATTATAAAACCCTTAGGTTTAGCAGCTAGTACATTTATAGTTCCAGTGTCAGCTACTGGGACAACTGACAGTCAGCTACCGGTACAAGCACTTTTTTCACTGTCAGCCACTGGAACACGTACAAAGGTTGAATTAAGTTTTACAATGTTATAAAATATATTTAAAAACCCTTTTTGTATGAAAAATTTGAAAACAACACTAAATTTAGAATCACATAAAATCTGTAATATCTCTTTAGTTCCTATTTATTCAAAACCACGGATTATTAAGTGCGTATAGTTTCTTATACTGTCAGCTACTGGTGAGTTTACCTTATGTGGTCTCAGTTTGTAACGATTAGAAAGCTATTTCCACACTCCACGGTAGTGTGATGGATTGGAAATTTGTGTTTATGAGAGTCTCTTCTGTAGTAAAAAATTTCCAGTTTACTATTGTGAGACTCGAAAGTAAAAAAATTATTTTGGGCAAGTCTTTGAAAGCGAATTATTATACGTCTAAAAATGGATGATCATTTGACTTGAGTCTATAATTTCCACATAAGTTGATTTGTTTCTTCCGTTGGTTAGTCTCTTTTACTAGATAATTTTAAATGACCTACTTTACTAACTCAATTACGTTTACAAAAATAATTTTTAATTGCTGTTTTCCGAGAAAATCCTACTGATCCTTCATCATAGGCTACAGTCTTGAATTTATATTACCCATAATTTCATTTGAAATCAAACCTTAATAAGTAGTCAACCTTGATAACAAGTCTTACTTAATAAACCCTTAGACTTGTTATCGAGGTTCTACTGTATTGTTTGGGCTACATTTAATAGTATACGTTAAACCAAGTTGCTTAAACTTTACGAAGAGCTATTTACAAACTTGATCAAGTAGTAGGTAAATACGTGCCTGAATCTAATTTAAGTTGTAAAATATCTGTTTTAAACTGAATATATTTTTCTTCTGGTACATTGTAGATTATTACATGAAGTACGACCTATATCCAGCACAGGCAATGGAGATAGATGAAGATTGATCATAGGACTTGGTTGGATAAAAACCAGGCCAATGTATGAGCTTTGACTTGCCCTGGGGGTTTTATATAAAATAAACTTTTATTTGTAAATAGCTAGAACTATGCAATAATTTATTTTGCTATTAGTAAGCAAGTGGCGCTTTTGAAAACGATTGTAAAATGTTTTAGCAATAGAGTAAATAAATACACAAAATATGCAAACTTACCAAAAGTCTGATGAATTCACTAGACAAACACATTATGGAAACACAAATTTGTTTACATAAATGTTAAAACTATTAGGGAAACAGTAGCTCAGTCTATGTTATCAATGAGTTGTGAACAGCTGATAAAAGCAATAACTCATGTAAGCCCTTGGCCTAGTGCACTGTAGAATGTTTTACCGTGATCAACGTAATTTCTACAGGGCGTCCCGGAACTCTCTACCAATATTTTAGGGCATTGCTCCTGGGTAAGAAACATACCTAAATATCATATTTAAATTGTCCGGAAGTCCTTAGTTACTCACACAGCCGCCATTTTGTTTTTTTAGTTATTAATTTTTTTCTAAAGAATGGTTAAACATACGAAATGGAAACCTTGCACAAACATTTATGACAACTAGACAACGCTACAAAAAAATTATGAAGATTTTTCAAATTCATAAAACAAAATGGCGACCATTTAAAATTTTGTTTCTTAAATAACTCAAAAACCATTGATTTTATAAAAATTTTAAATGGCCGCCATTTTGTTTTATGAGTTTGAAAAATCTTCATAATTTTTTTGTAGCTTTGTCTAGTTGTCATAAAGGTTTGTGCAAAGTTTCCATTTCGTATGTTTAACCATTCTTTAGAAAAAAATTAATATCTGAAAAAAACAAAATGGCGGCTGTGTGAGTAACTACGGACTTCCGGACAATTTAAATATGATATTTAGGTATGTTTCTTACCTAGGAGCAATGCCCTAAAATATTGGTAGAGAGTTCCGGGACACCCTGTATATCATAGTTTGTTTATCATATGGTTTTATGTTTGAGTTTTTGAAACTGTAAACAATTTCATGTATTTAATTATCATACATTTCCATTCTAACAGGTATCAGGCATGTTGCAGGGTAATGATAGGCAATAATAACAATGATACGTATGAAGGATACAATCCCACAGCTGTTTTACAATGATTGAAAAGGCTTAATTTAAATGATTAAACGCTCAAATGAAAGCCCTTATCATCGATGAATATTTTAAGGCTAAAACAAACTGCAAACGTTAATAAGAATGTGAGATATAAAAAAATAATCTTTAAAATGTTCAAAGTACTAAACGTCCATAAGAAACGTATGGGGGATGAGAGTTTTCATTTGAATATCAAAAAGATATTTAAAAACGGATTTCGGCATTGAAATCAGCGTGGAAATCAAGTTCATAATGATGTGTTACAAAACTATTATACATTTAAGAGCTTTATTTATTTCCAATATGCAGATCCAAGATGGCGGCTGAAAACGTGTTTCATATTGAAATGAAGTACTAACCCCCCAATAAATATCGGTGGTGGTCCGTAGTCAATTTCTCAAAAAATATGCATAATAAATGCATGTGGCAATTTTCTTTCAAAATTTATCCAGTGTTGGGAAAAGCCTCTATTTTTAACTGTGATTTTAGTGGTTTTCCCATGGACTGATTTTGGCCAACTTTTAGAATGTCACCCTGCACACCAAACACTACAAAATAAAACCATAGCACATTTTCTTGCAATTGTTTTAACGATCCCTTGTGTGTGTGTTTATTTTTTAAGTTTGCTTGTTTTTTTTAAGTTGGCTTATCATGACTTAATTGATTTATAAGTTAGTGAACATTTATAACTTTCCTATTTATATCATCGGACAATTTTGAATTTGGGTTGATAAAACAACTAATCCTCCACTACAACTACCTTTATTTATCACATAACAAGTTATTTTTTATGTTTCGCCTTGTTCTTCTTCTTCTCATGTTTTGCAGCCAGCTGTTTCAAAGTCTTCAGCTCCTGGATGGCTTGTTTTGCTAGTTCACCTTCTGGGGATTTGCTCGGCTCGTAAAGTAATAGACTTACTGCTTCCTTCAACACCTGGAATATAAAATTTATATCAATAATTGTTAGCAGCAAAATCGTAATGAGATTGAAAACTAAATAATTTTTAGACTTTAATAGTGTATCAAGACCAAACCGAGCCAACAATTTATGCAGTAAACCTCATTAACTTGACAATTTGTGGACCCAGAGGTTGTCGAGTTTGGGGGTTGTCGAGTTATCCAGAAAATTGAATTTTTTATGGGTTGTAATAAATGAATACATAACAGACTAATTTGTACACATAAGTTTATTACTTACGTGAGCATTTTTACAAATTGAGTAAACAATTGAATATTCAACAATTAAAATTAAATGTTCTGAAAAACTTGCTTTTTTGGTGTGCCAGCTGTTGACTGTCGAATTACCGGTATCAAGATAGTGGGCTCGTTCTCAATTAAAATGCTTATTTCTTAATAAAATCAATCAATATTTTTTTTTTTTACTTTTATCATTAAGTTATTCAACATAGTGATACACAATTAGGTAGGTATGTTTTTTAAAGCAGAATATGAAATAAAAGTGGCAAACTTGTGTTTATATAGATCACTATCTTTAACAATCATATTAATCCAGTTTAAACTACCATAACTGAAATCAAAATATTGAATCCTTTAAAGGAATATTTTACAAATACTTAAATCATTAATCATCGGATTTTTTCCAGTCTAAGATTCTGACTTATTGATAATAAATTTATCTTACATCTTGCGCTTCTTGCAGCCACTCGTGTTCTCCAAATTCTTGCGACATTGTCACTAGACCAATGTGTAGCTCATAGAGAGTTATCCCTGCAATAATTAAATAAATTTTGTTTAGAAGAAACATTTAATGAATACACTACTAATATAGTACCTATTTGATCTTTTAGTGTCTTTGCTCGTATTTATGAAGCCTTAACTCATTTATTTGTTTAAGACAAAGCCATTTAGTGGAAAGTGGTCACTGTTGTCATATTGGATGGTTCTAATACTGTTTTGTTTAATTATTTAGATATTTTAAATTTTCCTCTCAATAACAACTATAGAAATAAATTGTTGCACCTTTTACTTTCTCCCCCTATACATAGTATATGGAGAAAGTATTGTTTTCGTCAACATTTTTGAGTTTGAGAGCATATCCGTTTTGCGACTCCCTGAACCCAAAATAGTGGTTTCCGAAGTGATGTCTGGTCGCGTGTCTGTATGTGTGGATGTGTACAGAGCTACAAACCACCTCTGTAGTCCGGTTTTAAATTAAATTTTGTATGTAGGTACTTATCCATGGTATCTCCAGGTCCTTTTTTTATTTTTTGTAATTTTGATTTTTAATGGTGAATTTCTATAAAAAAAACCTATAAAATAACGGAAAAATCTGATTTTATTGAAAATGGCCCAATGAACAATGTTGATAAAAATTTAGTATGTTATAGTCTTTTACAACCAAACAACAAAATGGTACAAATTCCATTTTCGTAAAAAATACAGTTCCAAAGTTATTGTAACTTGTATTATTTCCCATAAAAAAACAAACCCATAAAGTAAAAAAATGGGATTTTAGGAAAAAAGCCGGTTTTGATTCAAATTAATGTGTTATGGTCCTTTTAATTCTAAACAAAAATAGTGCAACCTCCCATTGCTATAACAATTCTATAACTGTTCAAAAGTTATTGAAACTCTTGAGATTTGTCTTTATAAAATATCATAGTTACTCCTACCACTTACCATGATAAAGGGATACAGGTTGTTGACAAGCTTATGGGAGAAAGTATGTGTCAGATTGCTGATACCGTTTATTTCAATGAGATATTTGAGTTAGTTAAAAATATACATAACATATTATTAGGTACTTGTTAATGAGAACAAAATCCTTTTTAAATTAGTAAGAAGAAATATACCGGTACTCTTAAACTAGTTTAGAAAATAACTGAAAATAGTATTTACCCCTAAGTCTGCTCAATCCTGGCTCTATTGCTTGCAGAAGAGGTAGTAACTCTCTGCAAAGTTCAATCTTCCTCCTGTAAATAAAACATTAGTAGAATTAAATCTAATTTACAGAGCATTGGGCAACATTTTATTTTTTTATAAAAAACTATAACTGTGTTTTTTACCACTTAGAAGGAATGTACCTACTGAGGAAACATTCAATGGTACACTTGAGTGACGTCTATAGTTCGTCCGCTTCGATAGTGACCTACTCTAGCATTGGTTAGCATTAGCGTGCAGGTCACTATCTAAGCGGCCGAACTATATTACTAGTACACTAGTAACAACACCGCCCCTGTACTACAATGCTTCCGGTGGAGGAAGACCCTGTGCCTATTTTTTTCATTTTAAATTACCTTAAAGATTTAAATAAATGTACTAGTTCTAAAGTGGTTTGTGGCAGACTTTTATATCATGAACCGGGTATTTGGTAGCAACAATTAATTCTACACTAAAGAAATATATGATCTAAATTCAAAGTCAAAAGAACACTTTTTCCAATAAGCCTGCAAATTCTGCCAAACGTATCCCCACTTAGCAAAATATTTTCCGAAGCCTTATTTTGGAGTAAGAAACCCCAAAATATTCAAAATTATTTTTGGACAAAGAATTATTGGGGATTTAAAGTAGGTATTTTTTACAGTTATGGAAATACGCTTTAGTCAAAAGAATCCACGAATCCTTTTCTCAACTATGAAACCATATTTCGCAACATTACCTCGTGTTTGCTCTTGTCGGCTGCTGCTCCCGCAGAGCTGCTATGATGCTCTGTTTGATATCAACAACAACGCTGTGAGACGGAGACAGCGTGTTCCGCAACTTGTGTAGTAGCGATTCCAGAGCGTCGGGGTCCGCTCTGTCCAGAGAGTCCAGCTTGTCCCGGCACAGCAGCGTCGCCAACACCATCATCCCGTGGTTGAACACTTTGTGACACTTCTCACAAGACCACTCCTGCAGTCAACACAACCAGTCAGTGACATAAACTGGTCAGTCAAACCTATTCAACCTTATAGTTACTGTAGATAGTTAGTTAGCTAGTGACCGTAGTCAGTCCATTCTATACAATCTCTGTGGAAAATACACTTTTTTCCTTCGGGAGGAAAGGGAAAATGTTTTCACACACCCCAGGTGGTCAGCCTGTACTGTGAGACTTAGGAATTTATCAGACTGCTCACTAAAAAACCGTTCTACTCTGTTGGACACAGACCTGTTTCTCACAATTTATCTGGGATTGTTTCTCACAAAGTCAGGCCAACATGTGACCTGATGGTCATGCAACACCTAGCTCGCTCCCAAGGCAGACGCAAAGTTTGAAAAATTGTTCACGGTGTTAACAAATGGAAGGTCACACAGAGCATCCACCATGACCACTTGCTGAGCACTTTTTTAGACTACCGAGGCGGTAGTGTGGTATAGCACATATGTAGAGGCTCGCCTCAAATAGCCAAGCCTTCTAGTGCCACAGCTATGTCCCTTGTCGCGCCACCACCACTAAGTCGTGAATGTGATTCTTATTTTCTGTTTCGTTTTATTGTTCTTATTGCCGTCATGGAACATCTCATTGAAGAAGTTCAGAAAAGGCCGATGTTGTGGCACAGTAGAAGTGAACGCTACTGGAAGTCACTACTAGAATGGTCGTACACCCACAGAACAATATTTTATAGGAAGTTTCAGTTGCACCAAGGTACATCAGAAAACAACTTGATCACTACTATAGGCACTAGTACTAGCAGTGTCTGAGATTCGAAGTGAGAGCGCTGGGTCGCCAAGATGAGCTTGACCCCTCCCACACCAAAACTATTGGTACTTTGGTGACTGGTTTGATGGGAACGCAACTGGTTAATCCCAAAAGTAAAGGATGAGTGTAGTGAGACACCTAGCACGTATTTTATTTCTGCCTAAGAGCAGCTGTTTCTTGAGCCAGGACTATTTATTAAAAACACTGATCAAGGACAGCTGGGTCCAGTTTAGAACCATCAAGTTTCTGAAATTACTCAGGATCGAACCGGCAACCTTTTGACTGTAAGGCGAGCACTATAACATTGACTAACCTGGTCTTGAGGATTCAGCAGGACGTAGCCTGCTCTACACCTTGGACACTTCACCGCTCCCATGTACGTCCCCAGCTCCTTGGGGTCTGAGCATCGGGAGCAACTGCACGCAAAGTACTTCCCCATCCACAGATGTTTCTGACGCTCACGAGTTGGCTGCAAAAAAACCGTTATTTCTTCAATATCCCGTCATATTTTACAGTATCTTAAAATACTTCATTTATCATCTTAAAGTCTTTAAATTCCTGTTAAGTTTAACAAAACCATTAAGTGTAAATAGATCTAATATGTGTTTAGTTTAATTCTTTTTCGTGTTGTTCTACTAAATATTAAATTTTCTGAGAGACATTTGTAATATTTGCCCTACCTGTAACGGATCAGTGTAGTTATACAAGATGGGATGACCCTCTGGAATATCAACAGCTGCTCGTACACTCATCACATAATGATCGTCCACTGAGAGATGAACATTGGAAACACAGTCATGAGCCATCATGGCTGCCTGCAACACATACACTTCATACAACGCTATTCTAAATTTTATAGTTAAGTTTACAACAATCATTAAACTCTTCATACCATACATCATCATTCTCTTGCTAGTCAGCAGCATTAACTATTACTATACTTAGCTTATTATCTTTTGTTTCTACCCCCTTAACTACTTTGCTATTGTAAAAATGTTGTGCTCAAATCAGCCCTTCAAAGTAAGTGAACCTCTTCAATATGTTTTTATCGACTGTTTGGATAATTATTACTATTGTCCTAATTATTCCTTGTCATGCAGATACCTTAGCACCTAGCAATGAAACCTTATGGAATTTAAAGTTTATAAATTACTATTGTAGGAATGTTTTACATTTAACACATGTTGTGTAACACTTTTCACTGCGAAATTGGTACACCAAATAAAATTACAAACACATTTGCAGTTCTGCAGAACCAAACACTTTAGAATAATTTAGCCCCACCTCAATAATTCAGTTACCTCCGTGTAGACGCCCCGCAGCCTTGGCCCCGCCCCAGGGATTGGCCCCACAGGCCCCCGCACCTCAAAGCTGTTTACGTCCAGGGCCCCACAGATCTTCTGAACAAGTTCCTCGTCTTCTGGATTTGCTGTAATCACACCAAGTTTCTGGAACAGCTGAAAACGACATTATAGTGTTAGAATATCAAGCTAAAAAAAACTTCAAACAGATTACAATCACAGCTGATGATATACTCATTGTTGTGGCTTGCCCTTGAAATTGTAAGAAAAATATATACAGTGATTCTTATTTTAATTCTTGTCCCAGTCCAAAAAAAACTCTCAACAACGGTATCCACATGATCTTGACAAAACCAGTAATGAAACTTTATTTGTATTATGTAACAACATTTTGGAAAGGGACAAAAATAAAGGTAAATAAATCACTAAATACCAAGCTGAGGATCTGGTAGACAGAGTCCAGATTAGCCTTGATTACACATAAAATACATGACACAACACAGAAAAACTTAATATTTCGTCCCAGTTAGGGACTTCATCAGAAGGGAGAAGAAAGAAAACTGAGAGAGTTTTCTGAAGAGTTTTCATTCTTCTCCCTTCTGATGAAGTCCCTAACTGGGACGAAATATTAAGTTTTTCTGTGTTGTGTCATGTGTTTTATGTGTAATCAAGGCTAATCTGGACTCTGTCTACCAGGTAAGCTAGCTGATCCCTATCCTTGTACATAAATAATTCTAATCAGCCAATTGGCCATTCCTCAACTCCTAAATACCAAGCTGATAACAATAAAATATTCAAATTCCACTTAAAACTGATATGCTTTGCATAACTCAACAAAAATATAGAAATCAGAATGTAACATGTTAAAACCTAGAAGTTCAGTGTTAAGATAGTATATTTTGACTTATTAGAGTGTCTTTATTTGCCTCCTGGTCAAATTAAGCCTCTAGCTGGAAATAGCACTGCCAATTTCAGGACACATAGATTTAGTAGTTTATAATCCTGTCTCGGTCAAGCCATGTGTTCTACTCAAGAGGATTCTGAACATATCCTTTGAGAAGGAAGGTACCGGTACAGGGTAAACACGCTTATGAGACAACCATGTGCGTTCGCTTTGAGCTCTCTGGTATATTGCGCTGGGAATATACTTGTGGCAAGCAAGAAAGAGCCTGAACGTTGAGCACATTACACAGCTATGTGAGAATTCCTATCACACAGGGCACAGGGTCTTCTTCCACACTTTGTAGTACATGAGCAGGGCCTGATTACCCATTAGGCTAATTAGGCTGGAGCCTAGGGCGCCAGTCAGCCAAGTGTTTTAGGGGGGCGCCAGATAGCTAAGACTTAAAGTTGGGACCGGGGCGTAAAAAATTATTTATTCCAAAAAAAGGATTCGCGCCGATAGGGAATGAGGCGGGGAAGGGTGCGTTCGGCAGATTTTCATAATCATTATATCCATATATAAAGCCCAAAGTACCCATGAACTTTTGAGAAAACTACAACTCATGACATAGAAACCTTGTATCCATTATTTCATAAATGTTTGGTAAAAAGAAATTGAAAATCGGCTCATAAATTTGTGAGATATTCACCCCCTTTCTCTCCCTACCCTTAACTTAAAATTTTGAAATTGCGAGATATTCCATGTGACATATCAAATGAAAGAGCACGAAAAAAGAAAATTTTTAACAAAAAAATGTATGAGCCTATTTTCAAATTTTTTAAAATCTAAGCTAGTTTTGAGCTAATTAAGCGAATTTTGATCCAAGCTAATTTTGAATTCAGTATTAGTATTCATTCTTTGACATTGTGAAAGTGGTAGCAGAGAGGAGGGGTAGTGGTAAGGAGAAGGGGGGCGCGAAAAACGTCAGCTTACTGGCGACTAGACCCTTAATCAGGCCCTGTACATGAGTACATAAGGGTGAGGTTCGAAGGTATCGAACTTTGCCCTAGACACCAGCACTAGTGCTAGACACTAGTGTACCATGGAGTGTATCCTCTGTTCCTCTGTGGTATGTATGAGGAAAAGTTCCCCCACCACTTTTTTTCTGCTTAATGAATGTTACAGCTGATTGACGTTTTAAATAATCTCAGCTGTTAAGCTATGTTTTTATGGTAGGATCAAGACGTGGAGGGAATATAGATTGTTCCCTCCAAAACCGCGTAAATTTTGGGAATGGAGTATAATTGTAGTAATTCAATAGTAAGCATAACAACGTTAATATTGAAACCTTGAAAACACATGTTTCAATGGCTTGGGTTTCTAATAAAAGGACTAGAGAACTTAACTAATCGTTTTAGATTTAATATTTCTACTCTAGGTGTATTAATAGCACAAAAACTCAACTTAGGTTTTTTTCTCAATAATGAATCTAAGTCTATTATCAACAATAAAATCAACAAATGCTATCAAGACACCACAGAAGTAAACATTGTCTTAGGTTAATGAACCAAAGAGAAGGTAGTAATTAGAAAACAGAATCAATTAATATGTTCAATATGGGTTTTCAATTTTTTTTCTTCCAGGCTTAACCATTGTTTTTCTCCTTTATAAAAAAGAAACAATAGAAAATTTAGATTTAATCTTTTTGCTTTCTAGATGTTTATTTTTTGCTCCATGTTTTCACATTAATTTGATGCGTATTATTATTTATTTTTGTTAACTATTTTGCAAGTCATGAGCTTTTGCAGGAGAAAGAATTTTCACCTAGGTACTTCTTTACAACATCAGTCCTACCTCAACCACATGTTTCTGGTGACTCAGCCAAGCATCTGTGTCTTTTCTTTCCTCCAAGTGAGCCTCTAACTCCAAAATATTCTTGAATCTTTGGTCCCCTTCTTCTGATCTTAAAAATACAAATGATTACAATTGGAAAGACTACATATAATGTTGTAAAGTTAGAATACAACATATGGTAAAATAATTACATAAGGTATTTAAACCACTATCATAGTTAAAGTTAGAAGTTTAGGGACTTACTCTCTCCTTAATCAACAACTTAGTTTGCCTTGAAATACATAGTAAAACGATATATTTTGCAGAAAACTGCAATAGACAACTTTGCTAAATGTAATAATTTGCTAAAAAGGTTTATTAAAAATCACTTTGTAGAATCAAGCCTTTGCCTATGCTGTTATGACTCTATGATATTTGTACCTACCCAACAAATATATTTGTGGTTTTTGATTTAATTTTTCAACTGTCATAGCATATCTATAAAAGGCTCGATCCCACAAAGGTGAGTTTATAAGCTTGAAGGCCAAGAGCAAGGTAGTCAAAAAGTAGTCTTGCCGATGATGAGTTTGTCATAGAACTTCTGCTATCTACCAATATCTCCAACATCATCAAACAAAACTAATCCTACTTATGGCTTGTACTCAAACAACTGCGAGTTTGAAACTTTTTCCAGAACTTTTTTAATAGCAGCTATCAAGCAAGTGTGGCGAGTACTGGCTATAGCTTATGAGCTAGGCAAAAAAAACCGCTAGAACCTTTTAAAATCACCCTGTGTAATCAAGCCTTTAGTAAAATTAGGAATTTCAGACAAACAAGTTACTTTACTAACTGGTTGTTAATAGTATATTGCACTACTAGTCCCAAAAGTCACACATTTTGAGGCAAGATAGTGGTTTACGAGAGAGAGGATCAGGGGAAGGCGAGTGCGGAAACAACTATCAAGCCCCCAAATGGAACTTTTGTGACAAGTGGTGAATGTTGCTTTTCATCACGATGCAAAAATCACATAAGGCTTCTTGATTTTCTGTAATAAAAGAATACACACTACCTATATACTACACTATATACTTAACTGACTATATACACTATATACTAGTGCTCCTGTTGAGCTGAACAAGAACTTCATTTGTTTAGGGGAAGTGTTTGTTTAAGAAAGGAAAAAGTTAGTTTGTGACAGGTAAAAGTGTTTATAGGAGAAGCAAAATCATATGTTTTGATAGAATGGAAAATGACGATTTATTTAAAGCTCACAAATATGAGATACCTATTTTCGGTTACAGGAATATGAAAAACACTTTACTGAGACTTTAAAAATGTCCTGTCCTCAACAACAAAGAAAGAACTACCATTGACAATGGGTATTACTGTTCCCTTACCTTATGTTCAACAGCACTCGTAGTGGTAGGACATGCTGGTTGTTGGCGTTCATGAGCGCTTCCTTCTGATCCGTATTGAGTCCCTTGAACAGGTGACATTCCAGAGGGTCGTGGGTACATCGGGGGCAGAGCCCTGGGACTCCACAGACACTGCAGGGAGTCCCTGGAGGGTAGAGAGGTTCTTGACACTCCAGACAGCACGGGAGAGTGTCCAGATGAGGACCGACGATGACAGCTCTCTCTCTGAGTAGCATTTCTCCTTGCTGGACTGGTCTGCAGGCCACCAGGTACCTGAACAAGGAGTCTTGTAGCTGAGGTGGAGTTAAAACCTTGAATAAGTTGTTAAACGAGTCAAAAAGTATTATTTTTACCAATTGAGATAGGGACGCCATCTAGGTATGTATTTTAACCCAAATTATGATTGAAAGATAAGTGTAGAATGAAGTGTGGATGTGTGTAGATATGTTACTGACTAAGATCAGCTGTTTCATTAGCCAGGAGCATTTATTTAAAGCTCATTGATCAGGAACAGCCCGGTCCAGTTTTGAACCTTCAAAAAGCTACTGACTTTTCTCATGGATTGAACTGGCAACCTTTTGATTGTTAGGTGATCACTATAACCACTCAGCCACCCAGCCAGTAATTTATTATTATATCATTATGGTAAACAGAATTATTTGAGACATGTTCTGTTTAATGATTCAGAAACCTGGATCATAAACAAGAATGGGGGAAGTCATTTTTTTATGATTCAAAGACCAAACACAATTATTAAGATGTCCACCACCTATAAAAAAACAGATGTAGTTTATCATATAATGTCTATATATTTTATTTACTAGGCTAAGTTGTGGCACTGAGAAGAAAGGTATGGAGGAAACATAATGGTACACTTAATTGTGTCTAGGGCAAAGTCCAACACCACCATCCTCGCCCACATGTATTAAGATATGCAAGGTTATACTAATAGCTCACGGTGGAGGAAGACCCTGTGTGGTAGTAATTTCCGTACAGTGCTTGCTGCTCGCGGGCTCTTTCTACATTTCTAACACAGCATACTAGAGCTAAAAGCTCAGGGTCGTCTGATAAGCAAGTTTCCTCTGTACTTTACTTCTCTGTGGTCGAGGATGTTACTGGGATTTTGTAACCCAAATATACAAGTAAATGATAAGTGTAGAATGGAATGAGATCAGTAGCTTTGTTTACTGTCTAAGATTGTTTAAATGTTATTTCTTTAAATGCATACCGGTACCTAAAAGCATAGATAAAATATGCTCCCTTAGTAGATTTCTCATCCTTATGGATCAATTTTATTGTTAGTTCTGTGCAGTGCACTGTAGGGGTTGAGTTTTGTTTACAATTTTTTTCTTGTTATTTCAGTCATTTAAAACCTTGTTTGACTAAATAAAACGATCCAATCATAAACAGTAACTCATCCTCTAGTTATATAACCAAACTTTAAAGCACAAATCATTAAATTAATCCTAAAATAACAGAAACAAAATTTTGTCGATACTGACTAGCGATCAGTGTCACCGGACATGAACTACACACGAAAATCGAGCTTCAAAGTTTACAATGGGACGAGAAGTCTACTTGTGGTGGTTAGTCTATGCTAAAAGTGCTAAATCTTATAAATTGTAGGTACATATTAAAATTTAGTGTACTGATACTGATACTCCCAAACTATTGCAAATCCAAAATTTAAACATTGTACCTGTATTTGCACGAGCTAATTCTATATATAGAAGAACCTCGTAGATATATATATATTATATTATTTCATAAATTTACAATAAACTAGTGTTTTGCACACGGATAAATTATTACCTTCCATATTTTTCATTGTTCTCTATTCTGTAGGGTTTACAAACATTTTTATGAGAAGCAGATTGTTTCTTTTTATGTTCGTCACTGCAAAACAACACTTTTCCACATCCACTACATTTTACAATAGCTTCCTTTTCACAGTCAATACATTTTTCCGGCATGGTGAGTGAAAATATTGATACTAGCGCAACATACAACAGACTCCTGCTAGCTGCATTGAACCTACTGACCTATTTATAGAGTAGGCCGAGATATATTTAGATAATCCAAGTGTGAGATGGCGACAGGGGAAATAAACAATCATTAATTCTGTGATAATTGGATCTGATCTTATTAAGTTGTACATGCGCTTGGTATGTGCTAAAAATTGTGAAAATATTTTTGAAAACTTATTGCAAAACTTTATTGGGTTTTTATAAAATTAAAATTAAATAAAATGTGGAAAAACAGTGTCAAAAGAAACATCTAACACTGTTCGACCAAATGGTAACAATTCACAAGATTCCATTTCATTTTTGCGTTTGATTGCATTTAATATCAAAATATCTACAAATCACAAAAGCAGTTGAGGGATATGAAATAATTTGTTAGGTATATATTATTCCTATCACTACTTAATTGTAGACCTAGATTTAGATTGAATCTTTTAGTTCCTCAAAATAGCTTAGGTATTTTTTTTTTTTTTTTACTTAAATCCAAATAATGGCATTTTACCAAGCACTAAAATGTCCTCTAAATTTTTTACTGTAGCCTAATAACATGTTACTGATTCAGTGGTTGCACAAACTAGTCATAGTAATATTTGCTTGATTCAAAAGCACCATGCTGCACATGAAGGGTGCCAAACAATTTAATATAAAATACCCCCGCCGCAGCAAACCTGCCGACTAAGCGAGTTTCCATTTGTCTGAATTGATTTTCAATTAAATATATTTAAGTAACATTAGGTTTAACGAGTACCTAGGTTTGCTGCTACAATTAAGGAAACTAATAAAGTGTGTTTTTTAGTAAAATATTAATAGCTTAGCATAAAATAAATAAATTTCCCAAGTTTGGTCAAAATAATATATCCATTAAAAAGCAAAAAAAAAATGAGGGATTTATGGGCCATCAATCTTTGATGAAAAGAACTCCTGTCATTGTTAATTATTCTGCATGAAACATGAACATGATAAGAGACTTTTTCATTCCCGAACTAAAAGGGTAGAAAATCTGCATCAAGAACATATAGTTTCAACAAGATGGGGCAACTGCGTAAACGGCCAATGACTCATTTTAATGTTATTTCCTGGCGTATGATCTCAGGGTTTGGTGATGTGGCTACCACGTTCACCAGAATTGCCAATGAATGACTTTCCCCAGTGGAGTCTGGAGTCACATGAAGACAGATAAAAAAAGTACTCTGGAAGAAATGAAGGCTGCAATCAAAGGAGCCAAATTGAACTTATTAATCAATAGTTACTGAACAAAGTCGAACGTTTTCGAGCAAGGCTTAAAAATATGTTAAAGAATAGTGTTTTTGGCCTCTAGGGACAACAAAGTGAAAAAGTTTATCGGTTCTGGGTTTATGTCTTACCGTGCCACCTGCGGTAGCTACTTCCCTATAGGGAAATTTGCTAAAAGAAATTTAATTAATTATTTTTTTTCTAACTGTTTATTTTTCCATAACTAAATAATTAAATTATCTCATGATATCAAACATTGTATTTATTCAAATATTTTTATCTTGCAATTGGCTTTTTGGTTTAGTGAACTCTATTTCACCTGACCAACTGGAACATAATTTCTTAGTAATAAAGTTTTCAAGTATTTGAACTAATTACGTTGCTATGGAAATTCCAGCAGTTGTAATAAAATGAAATAATTTGCATCATGTTTATTCCAAAAATGTTATAATTTTACATGAATATCGTACAACAGAAGTCTTTATAAGAGGATACCAATAAGTAAGTAACAAAATGTGTGTGTTAGAATTTAAACTTAACATTTTTAGAAACTTAACACAACAGTACAGTCAGTGATTATTTTTAACAACATATCATTTGTAATTTGTTGTAATTAGTTTTAATTATTGCCTTGGTTTTTAGATTCAAACTCTTCATTAAAGATGAAACAACTGACTTCAATTACTGAAAACGGTTTCGTACTATCAGAAGTTTGTGTATATTGAGGTTCAATACTAGAGTTTAATTTGGTTAGTAATTTTCATTTGGTTTGATTTAGTTAGTAAAACAACCAAAGCAAATACATTAATGAACTCGAGGGCCATAAACGTGTTTCGAAACTGTCTTCAACTTATTCATGATGATGATAGATTTGTAAGAGAGTAGGCTTAATCTATGGTCAAACATATCAAATATTGAGTTCTTTCTTGGACAGAAGTTTAGCAATGAATTTAATTCATATATGGTGTCCATGGTGTCATCATTTGAGCTATTTTATTGTTTTTATCCAGTCTACAGTGTGTTTTGCAGTATGAAAACTTACTGCAATTATGATCCAGCTCCAGATTGATCTAAATTTTATAAATTTTCTCTATTTTGAAAGTTATTCTGACTTCGTCTACAGTTATGACAATGGTTTATGTACTGATGTTAATCTGGATGTACCTACAGCATGATGTACCATAGTATTTATTGTCATACCTTCATGTGACTTGTATTCATTACATCTATACTCATTGACAAGGTCAATTGCATCTGCTATTTTCCAAACTATCAATCACATTTCTTACATTATTTATCATCTCCAGAGTCTCCTGGATTGCTTACAACTCTCATTAATTCCTGTCTCTCTACATCAAGTTCCTCCTATTTTCCTTAATGCAGATGTTTTTCTTTCACATTAAATCTCCTATATGATGTCTCACCATTTCTTCACTTGTCTTTTAACTATTTCTTTTTCCTAATCTCTCTCTCAAGTCAAACCACCCTCCCTCAATATTCCTTCATCTATATATTGAATATCCATTTTTGACCAATTTCTATTAAGTCAGATTCTAGCTCTACCTTCACCTATCCTTTGAATAGCTATTTTTAGCGGTCTTTCAAATACTCTTTTTCCACCGATTTCTCTTTCGAGTCAGATTCCAGCCACTCTTCTTCCATGACCACACCATGTGTAATAAAAGAGGAATCTGATAAACAGGTATTGTAAAATATATAGTGTGTATTGCTAACCAAAAGTGTAGTGTCTTGCAGAATTTGATGGGTTTAATCTGCGTATAAAGGATGCTGGGTTTCAAGAGTGCCTCCATCGAGGTTTTTTCTTTCTAAGCCATGAGTTGTGGGATTTACATGTTTTCACTGAAACATCCTCTGAAAGATAGTCTACCTATATCCATAAAACACTTTTAATTATCTTTAATTAATCTGTGTTTAAAAACCTCTTTTTAAAATCTTGGTGAAGAATGTCTAAATGACGTATAGTGACAAAATTACTAAGTTACTACATGTTTTAGTTTTATAGAACAATTGTCTATGGGGATGAGGTAATCAGAGGGTGGGTGATAAAGGGGAGGAGTTATGTTGTCCAATAGTTAGTGTCAGTAGCAGCAAGTAATAAAATGTAAACAAAACAAGCCTATAGCTGCACTGGAAGGAACTATAACATCAAAACCGTCTTCAGCTGATCTATAAGGACGACAAATCCACTAAGCGAGTATGTTTATTCTGTGGTGTTATTTACAGTCCATTTTTTCATCTTTTATAAAAATGGTGTTACTATGGAAATGAAATTGAAGAACTGTTGAAATTCTCCTGTCATCAGTAATATGATGGGTAATTTTTGGACAAAAAAGATTGATTTCTACTATCTAATGTCCATTCCTGACCAGTCACGGGCCTTCATACTGTATCTCAGTGACAGGGGTGGCAGAGAAACTGAAGGACAGATCAGCAGGCCCCTGTTTATCTTCAAAACTTTAACGGTATATAACTTTATCCCTTCAGTAAACGCGCAGCAAATAGTTACACCAGGACTGTCATTCCGCATCTCAGTCCTCACTTGGAACGCTCTTTTATATACCTAATAAAATTCATATACTCACTCACTCACTCCCATGGCCATTTATGCCCAAGGCGGGATTTGGCCGCACCAACAACTGCTTTCCATCTCTCTCGATCTTCTGCTTCTTCCACTTCTGCCCCCACTTCTCTGACGTCCTTGGAAACACTATCCCACCATCTCTTCTACAACACTCCTACAAGTTTAGACCTAAGAAATTCTCCTACAGCAGAAAATCAACATAATAATATAAGCAGCACGCCTGTTACTAATAACTTAGACTTCCAAACACAAATTTTACTACAGGAGCTGAAACAAGCTAAAGCTGAAATTGAAAATCTAAATAGCATCATAACCATATTGAGGAAAGATTATAAGGATCTTGAAGAAAGTATCACAAAAGCTAGTATAGAACAAAAATGTCTCACCTGCTTTCCTACATTAAACCCTCCACTAACCCAGAACTCACAAGAAAATTTATGGCAGACACCTTTACATACTTCGAGAAACAGGACTACAACTCAGAAGCCGTCAGTTGCTACCCAAAACAAATATGAACTTCTTTTAAAAAAGTTTAGTGAGGAAACTGCTAATAATGAGTCTACAAACCTAGAGGCATTCGTCACTCAATCAGAAGAACCTAAACAAAACAAAACCACACTTAATAAGAACTTTGTAGCTGCAATTAAAAAACAGCTAAAAAGTAAAAACACATCTGTCACCAACTCAAGGCTACTAATTATGGCGGATAGTCATGGACATGGTTTAAGCAACATGGTGCAACAGTGTACTCCTATAAATGTCACCGCTCATGTGAGACCAAATGCTAAATTTAGTGGTGTTACTGAAGATATTGTAGATCTCGCATGGAACCTGTCAAAGGAAGATTACCTGCTTGTGGTAGCTGGAACTAATGACGCTGGTCATACAAAGGTAAAACATATCTTGGATGATGTTCGCACCCTACTTCTTACCACACGTCACACCAACCTAATCATAGCTACATTACCTATGCGCCATGACAAACCTGAGTTGGACAGTAAATTAACAATAATAAATAAAGAAATTGAGAAATTAATATTACACTCATCCAACAATGCTCAAATCCTCCCACTTCACAATCTGCCACGCCATTATTATACCAATCACGGATTACACTTAAACAAAAAAGGCAAGAAAGCTTTTACAGAGAAAATTTTACAGTG